AAAAGCCTACAAATGATAGAAAAATTCTGCATTTCTATGTTAAGAGTATTCAAAACTAAGTAACTGTGTAGATATTGTGGAATGAATAAAAGGTAATACTATTTAATATTTATTGTGATAAATAAATGTGTGCCTAAAACATTGCCTTTAGAAAATATTGCAGTTAAAATGAGCACAAAAAAAGATACAAGATACTTAAGTCAATACCAATGGGGGACACAATAAATAGTAAATGGTTCACTGACATTTCGTTCACCTACAAATCGAATAGTCTTGAATTTGTTCACCCGACATATTGCAAGAGGATAGTATGTGATAAAAATTAGACTTAAAAATGGTCAACCCTCTTTAGGGCCTTGCTCTACCTTCCAGATCCGCCATTCTGTCTAGATCTCAACTAGGTGTTAACTCAAGTATCCAGCTGAATGGGTAGATAATGAGGGGAGCGGGGGAAGCTAGATGACAAACATGAGTGTAAAACTAGGCCTACATTTGAAAAGTAAATAGGTTGCCTATAGTTAAGTAAGGGTCCTTCTAAATTGTTTAGCTAACAGCCCTAGCTTGTAAGATCGCAATTTTTTAAAAAATCTAATTTTATCACATACTATCATGCTCCTTTAGAAAAATTAACAATCAGGATTATGCCTGATCTCTAGATATCAAATTTTTTTGGGAAATAAAAGCAAAAAAATGTAAAATGTATCAATACCCTGTATGTACTTTTAATGTAAGCAAATTAAACAAGCGATGAGAGTATAATATTAAATATATGTTAATATCCAGTGATTGATTTGTCAGTGAACGAATTGTTAGTGAAAGATAGATTTGTTGGTGAGTGATATGTCAGGTAAACGAATAGTGGTGAATAATTTGTCAGTAAAAGAAATGTCAGTGAATGATTTGTTGTGGAACCACAGTAATGATTTATAATACTAAAACATGAATTCTAGCTACAACTGAGCTGGAAGGAATAAAAAAAAAAAAGTTATTGTAAGTAAGTAAGTAAGTCAGTCATTCTACGCAATAACATTATACACAAGCTTTAAAATGATTTAATTGTATATATTATGTGAATATTATACTATATTTGTGCGCATATAGCCCGTAGATTATACAAATTTTTATAAACAATAGGCAGTTGTGCAAGGTATATAGAAATTATTTTACTCATAAACAGAGCATAACAGAAACTATGGCCATACTGGTAAGTCTTTATATCCCCTATAGTTCACTGTGTATGATTGTATTTCACACAAGTGTGTCACACTCTATGTATAGCAGATGTCTGATGAGAAACAACTTGATGTACCACTAGTTTCCTGCAAGTCACATTTGCAAATGCAGGGTATATAAGGGTGTGGGTTATATGGTACATGACAAACCTTTATTTTGAAAAGCAAAAAGACTAAAACTTTCAAAAGACCAAATATTATCAAGCACACTATTGGCTAAATTGGATTATAAAAAGTGACTCATTTGTCTGAGAAACAAATGAGACTGATAAAACTAGAATTGTGTTTAGATCATCCTTCAGCTCAGTCCTACTACTAATATAACTAGTATCTACTATACTTACATCATGCAGAATTTTCAATCTGTGATCTGAGTTAATGTGTTCTCTCAACTATATAAAGAAAGGATTGATAGGAAATTAGTTTTGGTTGTACAGGTTAGGATGTATATTAAATACTTGACTTTTTAATATCTAATCAATAAATGGAAATTGTTAAGAGTGTGTTCTCATTCTGAACTATCATTTGACAATGGTATTTAAGTAAGATATATAAAAAAAAATTGTCATATTATTTTTAGATAAACTAAAAAGTTGTACAAACATTGATGTCTACTAATTGATATCAATGATAGACTTAAAAGAAACAAAGTAGTTATCATTGTTTGGTTCTTTAGTGAATCTGACAAATTATCAAGGACATCACAAAATATTGTGAAAAGTGCAAAAAATAATATAAGAATGAAAAAAAAATGTATACACATATAATATATATAATAATAAGAATAGCAATGTCTTTAATTCCAAAGATTAAGGATGAGTGCAGTTTTCACATGGCTATGCAGACCCAGTTGCGATCTGAATATTATTCCACACCTGAAGTAGCTCTATTTAAGTTTTCTTTATGACTTTTGCGCCTGTCTGGCTTTTCTTTGGGCCCCAAATGTGTGTCTCGTGGCATTCGTGAGAAATCTACAAATTTCTTTCAAAAGAAATCTGCTGCCTGCTACTCTCCTCTATGCTAGTAAAGGCGAAATGACATCTGACTTCTTTAGGCGCTTAGGGGGAACACCTGTTACACTTACCTAAAAAGATTGCCTATACCGATTGTTGCCAGGAAGGTTCTGCAATTGACTTTTATTGAACCCTTTTGCTTTCATCCTTTACTATTCTCCAGGAGGTTTGTGTTCCTAGCGAACAACCATCCCTAACTATGTCATGGCCAATGGCCTAATCCCCCTTTCACCTGCTGTCCAAATAGACTGGACCAAGGAAATCAGTGTGTTGCTAGAGAAAAATTTGCCCCAGTAATGAGAATTTAATACAGTGGAGAGGAGAGACTGAAATAATTAACATTTTGTGGTTTTAATGTAGGCTAGAATTAGCTGGGGAAGGGATAGGCATTGTGTGAAGTCATTATTAACAGAGAACGGCAATAATGTTGAGCATGGAAAAAGTAAAGAGAAAATGACTTTAAATTTAAAGTTTGAAGATTATATTTATATCTAGATCAATTCATAATTGTTTTTTTTTTAATAATTATAAATATAATAATTATTAATTAGATCTAGATCTCTAGAAAAGTTATTCCTCTTCATTAGTCTCAAGTAAATTTCTAGACAGAAACTTCAGTATGGGTAAGGGGGGGGGGGAATCTAGAGTTTAGATTGACTAGATTTATTTCATAAAAAACATTTTAAACTTAGACTAATTACAGTTTTCTTTTGAAGCAACATTTCACTTGTCATTGCTTCCATGAGTCTTTCTCTTTCCTCATGGTTTCTGCGCTGTTGCTCCAGAATAGACTCCATTTTGCAACACTTTAAAAAAAAGTATTATAGATCTAGATCTAAATCTAGATGTGTTTCTTTAAAAAAAAAGTCAAGATCTTAATGATCAAATCTAGTATAGATCTTTACTGTCTTAGGAGTTATGTGTACAAAGTTACGTTTATTTTCAGTATTATTTCTTTTCTGAAAGCGGAAATAGTTAAAAATTGAGATCTAGATCTAGATTTATAAATAGATATCATTCAGTCATTGGCAGCCATCTTGCTTATATTAAAAATCTGAAACATTCCATATGGACAGAATAGAATCTATAGATCTAGATCTATATCGAGATATAGCTAGTTAAATTAATATAATTTTAACTGATAGATGATTTGTTTGGATCTATAGACTCCAATGGCAAGCCTCATGTAAATATAATATTTAAATTTTACATTTTATGCCTTACTTAACTCTGGTATAAATTAATTTAAATACACTTATTTATAGCTGGCCCTGTGGCGCAACGGTAGCGCGTCTGACTCCAGATCAGAAGGTTGCGTGTTCAAATCACGTCGGGGTCATCGTTATTTTTGGTTGTTTAAAAATTAAATTTAGTTATATAATGTATATCTCAATTTTTTTCCTTAACGGGACACTTCGCACATTTTGAGTATTTAACCACAAACTACATATTTTTACAGAGATTAATTCACGTAATAGCCTACTAGTTAATTATTTCAGTAACTCAACTTGATACGAAAATGGGTGTGGGAGAAATAAATTGTAGGCCTACACTTTTTACCACGAGAGAGAGTTGATATACGCTTTGTAAAATTGTTTCGCCCCACTGTATCTCGCCCGTCTGTGAGAGTGGCGCCCGGGGCATGATGCCCCCTCTCTTTATTCATCATCATCATCACTCCTTTGAGTTCCTCATGGAACATAGGGCCTCGACAAAAACACGCCACTCTCCACGGTCTCTTGCTAGCTTTTTGATGGTGTCCCAGCTCTTCCCGATCTTCTCTGCTTCTTCAAGTACACTGCGCCGCCATGTTCTTTTTGGTCTTCCTCCCTGGAGGTTCAACTCTAAGGCCTGTTTAGCTCTGTTGCTGGTATCTTTTCTAACCTCCCTTTATTAGCAATGTATAAAGCATCGCGTGTTTGTGTATCATCGTCGATAAAGTATTTGAGTTTGTTGTAGAGAAAGAATGATGAGAGAAAACAAGTTCGTCGATAAAAGGGAAGGATGTTGATTTATGTAGACTTATATTGGAGTCATGTTCCTTTAATGTGAACCAGGTAGTTCCCCAAGACAGCGCCTTAACTAAAAATGTTTAGCTTTCATCCTTTCAACGAGAATTAACAGCTCGATGTATTTTTGATGAGTTTTTGCTGATTGATGTCGCAGAACAGAGAACGAAATTTGACTTAGTGAATGTCCGTCTTTTAATTAAATAGGCTTACTAGAAGAATACGATGTGCTTTGAAATTGTGCGGTGTAGTGTTTCATCAATTAAATTATAAGCCTATGTTTTTTTTTTTCTATTTTTAAGTTGCTCATTTGGGCTTGCATGCGTCTGCGTACGAATAAGACATTTATTAATATATATATACTCTGCCTGAAAGGGCGTTAAGTTCTAGCTTAACCTTCTTTCAAATCAGAAACGGTAGTGGGGTATCTTTTTTTTTATATATATAATAGTTGGACTAGAGCATGGCAATTATAACAAAAGACGCATTATGGAATAACAACAATCCACCAGATTAAGAAGTAATCCACAAGCAGGCTTCCCGTAGAGAAGTCATCTTGAGCTTGCCTGATAGACACCTGCTCCTCCAGATTTCACATCGAGACTTCAGCACTTAATAAAGGGAAGTTATCCTGTTGACAATGGTCACTCACCATACGACTCCAGATACTTTGAAATGACATATTTCTAGTACTAGGCCACTCTTTTAACAACCCAAAGTGACTAACAATAACAAAAAAGCAGAACTATTGTGAGCATTTCTTTTATTATGCATTCATCTTTTTTTTTTTTTCTGTTAAAAATCCGATTAAAATAAATTCTAAAATCTGTTGACACACACTAAATACATTCACCAAATCACACACACACAATATTCGTTTCCTATCTAGTAACCTACTCCTGGGCAGACACTGTGTCACAAATGAACGAAAGTCATTTCATCAATCCAGCAATTAAAGTTGACAACCATTGTATAGGCCTTTCATTGACCAAGTTGCTACAGTAGTATTCTATTTCTCATTGAAATCTGTGAGAGTAGTCATTACTACTTAAAATAAAACAAAAAAAAAAAAAAAACAACTGGGAAAAAATATGTAGCTTACCCATATACATATATTATGTCTATTTCTCTGGAGCCGATAAACATTGATTTCATTATCTGCATCTATTTTAAACATTTCAAATATGAATAAAAGTTGTGTTTTTTTTACTGAAAAGTCATACAATAAACTTCTTTGGAACAGTTCTTCTATTATATATATCTTTATATGTTAGCATGTTAATAGTATGCTAAAAAGATAAAATTAGTCACTAGTTTTTATATTTTAATTCACCTAGTGGAAATTAATAAAATTACCACGGTGTGGTGGCTGAGTGGTAAAGTGCTTGGCTTTTGAATCGAGGGAATCTTATTTACATCTAAAATGATATTGCTTTTATGCATAAAAAAATATAACAGATTTTTTTTTCTTTTGTGTAGCTATGCCTTCGCATTGAGTTGCACAAACATACATAGATACTGGGTGATGGTATTACAAGAGCAGTATCACTATAATTGTATAGCAAATAATGTTCTACATGAAAGCACCAAGATAACAAACATCCAATACATTGCATGTACAACAAGTGCAGCCCACAAAACAGTGGCTAATGTACTGTAGTATGGATTATGGTAAACATAATTATTTATATTGTACATTACTCAACAATGGAAAAAAAATACAACAAAATCAACTATATGTGTACTTAGCATTTTACAAACATTCCCTTTTCAGCAATATAGGTCATGAGAAAAGGTTTGTCATCACAGTAAATGTACTTTTTAAGAACATGGCATTTGATCAGGCCAATAAATGCTATGTAACAGTAAATATTTAATTCATGATGTATTAATTTGTGATTCAGACATGTCATCAATCTTATTTAAAGTGACACTGAATTCATAATTTGACAATGGCCTTATATTCTGCTGCACAACTATATATCCTATAAGGGCTACTAACCTTGAACTACAAAAATCAATAAGTTAAGGAAACAAATATTTTAAAGTGAAAATATGATAACATAAAATTTGTGGGAGAGAATGACATTTGACAACTTTTTTGTCACATCCTAAATGCAATAGAAATAAGTCTTAGTAAACTGCATGATATTTTCTTTAAAATAATTTAATATATGATAATGACAATTAACAATTTTTAAAAAATAAGATATTTGCTCACAGTCCAAACAAGTCAAATTTTTTGTTAAAAACGGAATCATTTTTATTTTCTATTTAGTAGTAGTTCTAATCTTCTATTTATTAGCATTTCAAATCAGTAATATATCAAATGACGACAAAATGTAACCAATACAATTACTCTTCTAGAACAGGGGTGGGCAAACTATGAAAAACATACAAGCCATGACATGGTACACCATAATGGCGTACCTAAGAAAATGATAGAAACACAATTTTTTTTTTAAATATAATTTTTTTTTCTGGAAATATAAACTAAAACATATTTTTTCTTGCTGAAAAAGACAAATGAATTTCAGTTCAATGATATATCCAATAAAAAAGAAGCTATCCTGTATTCAAGAAATATTGGATTTTAAAATGGATATAGTTTCCACCTAGATAAAATGTGTAACTAACTATCTTGTCAAAGTAAACTCAGACAAAGAGCTATAAATGTAATTTCAGCATGGTTTTATTGTGACACAAGTTTCACCCTATTATGTACATTTCATTAGGCACAAAGCAAATACATTCTCGAAAATGAATACATAAATGTAAGATGACAAGGATGATGTCAGAAATAAAGACATACCAATGTTACCAATGTTTTTGAGTGAGTTTTAGTTTTACAAAAATCTACCAATTCTCTATCTGAACTACTTAGATGTTTGATCTATTTAGATGTTTGTGGTCAAATCAGATATCCGGTATTGAAATATTTTTAAATAATCACACAAAGTTATTTAAAAATTTGTCCTTTTCGGTAGAGTTCAAGTGATCCATGCATATGAGCTTTACTTTTCACTGACCTCTTTAAAATCTGTTTCAGACTACTCAATACCAGAAAAGTTCCTTTTCTTTCTTTTGCAGCCTATATCCATCCCCTATCCAGTCCTACTGGCATGCTACTAAGAATTGAGCTGCTTGCCAAATTTTTTTAGGATACACCCAAAGAGGGACTATTTCCTGAACATCTATTGTTTATTACCAAAATACAGTTTGGACTTTTTTAGTTTATAACATCAAGTTTGAAATATCTTGGCAATATGCAATGTCAAAAGAAAGTTGGAAAAAAGTAGGAAGATAATATGAAGAATGAAAGGCCTTACAATTGTGTAAGAAATTTAGGATGGCAGAAAGAAGAGGAATAGACGGAACTAGTTGGTTAATCATAGTGGTGCCCCAACTGATTCAGAAACATGGATTACTGGCATGAAAATTGGTTTTAAAAATGAAGAGGCAAAGTACTAAAACATTAAGGGTGTTTAAATTCTTTGGCTTATTAAAATATTTAAAGTATTTCAAAGAGAATAATAGCTACCCATAAAAATGGTTTATATACTTAGACAAAAGGATTTGAATATCTTATTGTGGCAAACAGCAATACTAAGGGACTGCCAACCCCTGTTACAGAATATCAACATAATCATTGAATAAAATCTTTTGAAACAAGTTAACAAGAATGTGCATATTATTTAGTCTAGCTCTATACAAGTACAGCCTGATAATTATTCTTTCTGGAGAATTTCTTAATATAGTCTTTGAATCTTTCTGGAACTAGTGAACATCATCATTTCCTTGCATCTGAAACTCCTTTCGGCACTGTTATCTCAAGGCCATCCATATCTTTTGTTACTATGACTTGACAACCTAACCGTGACCTGATAAATGGTACATAAAAGTGAAAACATTTATTTATGCGAATTACTTTTTGTACATATAATTTAGCTGAAAGCTAAGCGAACTGTTGCCAAATTTTAAAATAATTTTGTTTTACGTACACTGAGCAGAGACCACACCACAGCATCTTTTTTTTTTTTTCTGATGCATAAAAAGTGTGAATCAACAACTGAAAACCCCACAGAGGAAATGGACTTGAAATAAGACTATTATTAAATGCAGCAGATTGTAAAAAAGGTTATCAAGCTTCTAAAGAGACTTCAAGTTTTATATATGTATATATATATAGATGAGACTTAGGGAATGGTGACTATGGAGATCCACATATAATTGTTAATTAATGGGCAGAAAATAATAAAATGAGTGTTATAACTTAAAATATCACCATAAATGAGTGTTATAACTTAAAATATCACCATAAAGTTCTCAAACAAAATTATTGATGCAGAAATAAATTTGCAACATATGTTAGATTATCCAGACATATGTATAACACAAATGGAATCACTGTACAGACTAAAATGCACATGATATTGATTAAACCTTCCTAAACAACACATCTCAAGGAGCTTCCAAAATAAGTTTACAACAGCTGATGTACATTTATACCATCTTGATGTAATCTTAACTTCTATTCTATGCACAGACCATGCCTCTGAAATGAACTCTGATTGGCTTCTGAGCAGGCAGGACTGCTCCTAACATCATGCCCATGCATGAAACTCTGCTGTTCAACATAGTGCCTCATGGTTTCTCATATAGATATAGTGACTTTGCAGATGTTACCTCACAGCTCCGAGATCTCATGTAAGAGATGCACCACCGTCTCCACTGACTCTTCACAGTGTTAGAAACATGCATCAAACTTTCGTCAGAACCAGGCAAAATAAGCACATATGGGGCAGTGTCCCGTTTTGCACTGCACAATTGTTGTTTTAGCCTCCACCAGAGATCACCATGGTCTGGACAATGCAAAAGCTACCTGACAACCCTGGTTCTGTCAGATCCATCCCAGGATTTCAACCACTTCTCATGTACCCACTCTCTGATCATAGTCCTAGCCTGCTTAAACATACTTGGGATCATGAAAGAAGGCATGGCCAACACTCCTACATGAGCTAAAGCAAAAGAGCATCATTGTCCCTCATGTCAAAGTGCTAGGGGGCTCACTGCATGTACCAATAAACCCACAAATGTTAAACTGTGGGTCAATAGCCTCTTCTAACAAAGGTGGCGTTTCCCCTAAGCCACTCATGGCTTGGAGTCAGGAGCATGAATTGTTGGCCATGTCTCTAGAAAATGTTTGCCAAAAAGGCTTGTCTTTGACTAAGAGAAATAGAAAGTACCACATGGTAGCCAATGAAAATGATTCCAGGACTAATCACCATTATGATTATTATTACCGAACTGGCAAAAGTGAACAGTGTGTTCAGTTTAAGATATAAAAGCAAAGCAAAAGAAGTTTGAAGTTACTTCATCCCTCCCCCCCTCAAATGTAAGGTTGAAAGGTGAGAATTTTAATAAAATTCAAAATAAACTGGTTTATTTATTAACTTAGCATTAGATTAATATAAATGTACACTAATTTTTTTTATCCAAATGAAACAAAATATTTTTTAAGAATTCATGATGTTAATATTGTACTAACTCCACTAATAGATTATATTATATAAAGAGAAAATCAGCTCAGTATAAAAGCAATTAAACATTTACGTTTCAGTTAGTCCAAATGCTAAATCTAGCATATCTAGCTCTTCATCTGTGGGCTTATCAGGTAGCTTGTTGAAATCTTCTGGCTTGAAGATTAAATGACATGTTGAGCAGGCCAGGGTTCCTTCACATGCACCTGAGACCAAACAATTCAATATGGGATTAGCCAACCAGGGAATGACTTTTTAAGGGAGACAATAACAGCCTAAAAGCCTAAAACTATAAACATTGCTTAATTATTTTTTTTTTTATATGTACTGGTATGAACATTATTAATTAAATATTCCTTTACAACTAGCAAACTTTTAAAATCTTTGTTTACATTTTGGCTAAAACCTATTCAAATCAGAGTGAATGTACTATGTTTCCCACACTATATAGAAAGCAACAAATTTCATTATAATAAGTCACACTATTTCAAAATATGATTGCCTCCATTTCTATTGTAAAAAAAAAAAAAAATTGCATTAAAAACTAAACA